CCCGCCCTTTGGGAGCCCCCTCTGCCCGCTCATCTCAGCTGCTGCTGTCCAGAGAGCCCTCTCAGAAGTTGGAGGAGTGACCCCAAGTGCCCCACAGGGAAGCTCAGCTTCCCAGAGTTTCATGGAGGTTGCTAGGGCTGGGTGCTTTGAAAATGCAACATAGTGTGCTTTTCCTGTTGTTTTCCTGTGGCCCCCAGGACTGGGTTAGACCTGGGGCCTGGAGAGGGATGGGGAGGGGAAACCCAGCTGACAGCAGGCATGGAGTCCCTGTGTCTCTGTGGCTGTCCTGGAGTGCAGAGGGGGAGGAGGGGCATGCTCATCAGGAGAATCCTGGAGGCCTGGGAAGAGCCCTCAGCACACAGCTGCCTCAGAGAGAACCGCTGCCCTCTTCCCTCTCTTTCTTGCTAGGCAGGGGACAGAATTGGAGTCTGGCTGAGCTTGTCTGAAATCCACTGTGTGAAGGCGACAGTCATTGTCCAGAGGATCTTCAGGGTCCCAGTGCACCAGGCACTGGAGACAGGAAGAAGGCACGAGTGCACTCACACAGACCAGCAGGCACTGCAGCCCCCAATTGGAGGACACTTGAGCCCACCCTGAGTGACAGACCCTGAGCTGCACAGGTGACACCACTGGTCCTAGGAACTAGACACTGCCCGTGGACAGGATTCTGCTGTCCCTGGACACTGTGAGGCTCTTGAGATGGGCTGTAATTATGTTACAGGAGCCAGCATGAATTTTCCCAGTGCCTGCTCCTTGGGTCTCTCCTTTCACATCAAGAGCTGGTGTCACTGTGTCAGAATGGCCAGTCCATGGAGATCTTCCTACATGGTGGAGCCAGGGAAACTGAGAAAGCAGGTGTGGGGCCCTCAGTGTTCAGAACGTAGAACATTCATCACACATGGGAAGGGGTTTGGCAACAGCATGTCCTTGGTTGGACAAAACATCCTGAGGTGGCCAACTCTGCAGGAGGCCTTCTGCAGACAAGTAGAAGTACAACCCCAAAGGTGCCCACACATGTCTGTGAACAACCCGTCCCCAGGATATCAAGTACTTGGGTTCCTGCCACCCACACAGGGAGACCTGGATTGAATTCCCTGCTCCTGACTTTGGCCCCAGTCCAGCCAGGCAGTTGCACACATTCGAGGACTGAAACAGAGGGTGGCAGTACTCTCTGTGTCTCTCCCTCTCAAACAACTAGTTTCTGTGATGGAGCAGTGGTTTACTAGCCCAAGCATTCGCCTGGAATGGCAGCATCCTATATGGACACCTGTTCAAGTCCTGGTTGCTCCTCCTCTGATCCAGCTCTCTGCTATGGCCTGGGAAGGCAGTAGAAGATGGTCCAGTTCCTTGGGCTCCTGCACTCATGTGGGAGACACAGAAAAAACTACTGGTTTATGGCTTCAGATTGGCCCAGCTCTGGCCATGGTTCCCAATTGGGAAGTGAACCAGTGAATGGAAGGTCTTCTCTCTGTCTCTGGCTCTCCATGATAATTCTCTTTGGTTCAAACTCTGCCACCTGGGCCCAGGAGGGTGGCAGCATTATCCCAGACATTTCCGGAGCCTCTACTGCTGGTCAGTGCAGTGTCCCATGGCTTCTGTCTTGCCTGTCAGCTTGGGTAACAGATGCAGGAGCCCTGATTATCTTGGAATCCCCTTCAGGGTCACCTTCATTCTTCTTGACAAAAACTGCATGTTGTCAACTGACGCACTGCATTACTCCGTCCTCTCCATCCAGGAAGGCCGTCAGCCCACTTTCATTTCAAAACCATTCCGCTCAACCTTGGTGAAACCTACAGATTCTGTCCATGTCATACAAGCATCTTTTTCAAGGCACAGCCTAGCCACACCCTGGTGTTCTCTTCCAGAATACATTTCATTTGTTGTAATATGGATAGACTCTCCAAATCTTCAAATTCTAGTTTCTTTTTGTTCAGAATTCCCAGAAATTAAATTCTCTTTTTGGACGTTACTATAAAGAGTCAGATGGCCATTGGCCAGTGCTGTGACATAGAAGCCTAAGTCCCCACCTGCAGTGTTAGCATCCCATATGGGCACCAGTTCAAGTCCAAGCTGCTCCACTTCTTATCCAACTCCATGCTAAGGTGCCTGGAAATTAAGCGGAAGTTGGACCACTTGCTTGGACCCCACACACATCTGGAAGGAGCTCCTGGCTCCTGGCTTTGGCCTGACCCTGCCCTAGCTATTGGGGATTGACCCAGCAGCTGACAATCTCTCTCCCAGTATGTCTGTATCTCTCCCTTTCAAATAAATTCTTTTGAAACACTGCCAGAAGGCAAGCCCCTGAATCAGCACTTTGCTTAGAATTCACCTCCATTTAATGTCCAGTTTCATTCCTGGCAAGTTATACCTTTTAGAAAAATGCCAGAAACCAAGTTCCCTGCCTCTTACAAACAAGGTTCACCTTGTTCCTCGTCTTCAATCACATCTATTCCTCATTTCCACTGCAGACCTCACCAAAATCCCCATTCCCATCCATAGCTCAGTGTGCATCTGAAAACGCCTCCAGTGGGGACCTGTTCCCCAGGGGCAAAGCTGCTTCTGTCCTTGCAGGGTTCATTAGACCTGCACCTCAAGTCTCAGGACGCTAATCTGTGTCTGGTGAGACCCTGCGAGGACTTATGGAATATGGACAGTTGTCCATGAAGCTCTGTGTCAGATGGGGTCTGGGATCACTTGCAGGCACTAAAGTCACCATTGCTAAAGTGCTGTACATAAATGGGTAGCATTTGCATTGGACCAAATATTCTCCCATATGTTTTCAGTTGTCCCTAGATATCTTATAATACCTAAAGACACTACGACATAAATGGTATACTGTGTGTAGAAGAATTCAAGGGGAAAAAGATGGTATATGGCCAGTACAGATGCATTCTTTTTCAATTCTCAAAATCACTGTGAATGGAATCTGCACTTGTGGTCCCCTGGATCCCAAAGGCATCATGGGATAAGGCACTGTGTCATGTGGTCATGTAGGCTAGGAAGTTCCAAGACCTGCTGGCAGATGGCTGGCCTTCCAGGAGAGACACTTTGATTCTGGCCTGGAGTCCCAAGTGCAGGAATGGAAACATTCAAGGCAGCCAAGAGGTTTTTCCTGAATTTGCAGGCGTTTGGGGAGTGAACCAGTAGATGGAAGGTATTTCTCTCTCTCTCTCCACCCCAGCACCACTACCTCCCTCTCCCTTTTCTCCCACTGTTCATCCTCTGCCTCTTCACTGTAATGCTGCTTTTCAATAACTTTTTTTTAAAGAAGGCAGGTGCTGACATCGTGGGACCCTGGGTAAAGCCATCAGTGTGACAGCGGCTTCCATGTCAGAGTGCCTGGTTCAAGACCCAGCTGCTTCTAAGCCATATTTCCTGTAGTAATGGGAGGAAGCAGATGGCTCAAGTTGTTGGATTCCTTATTTCAGCCCAGTTTAGCTGTGGCTGCCGCAGGCATTTGAGACGTGAATCAGATGGAACATCTCTGTGTGTGTGTTTCATTCTATGTAGCTCTCCCTCTCTCTTATGTTTGCCTTGCAGATAAATAAATCAGTCTCTTTAAATATTGGAAAACCTGGTTCTGGCACTGTGGTATAGTGGGCTTTGCCTCCACCTACAGTGCCTGCTTCCCATGTGGACTCTGGTTCAAGACCCGACTGTTCCTCTTCTGATCTGGCTCTCTGCTATAGCTTGAGAAAAGCAGTCTACTTCATATATAAATAAAGAGAGAGAGAGAGAGATACAAGGGTAAAACATCGGCACACCCAATATGAGATGTAATGTATTATAACACTGAAATTAAAAAATCCAAGTGATAGAGAAAAAAAATTCAATGGTATGGGCTAACAGGATATTTGCAATAACATTCCACGTTGGGGTGAGAATGCTTTTGAACTACAGAATGCCAGGATCCAGTCTTCAGGAAGAATTCTATTAGAAATCTAGTATTAGACTTGACTATAATAACTGACACAGGCATGAATGGTTAACGCATGGTAAAATTGTTAAAGGAAGGCCATTTTCAAACATCTTCCATTTTATACATCTTCCAAGCAGCACTCTCCAAAGTTTTTATTTCAACTCTGAAATTTTATTATCCAAAGTGTATGATTTTTACAGAACAAAAGTAAAAGCAGGTATCAAAATCAGCAGAGTTTGTAAAATTTCTGCAGAGAGTTTCACCTAAGTTAGGGCTGGTGAAAGTGGTATCCAAGGAAAAACCTAGATGACTGCCGATTTGTCTCTTGGCATAAATTACCAGGCGGTTTGTTCTGCAGGTACTGAATAACTTGTCATCATCAGTGGTCAGTTGTTGAGAACCAATTCAAGTTGTCAAACAAAGCAAAAAAATTTTTACATTTTTTTGTTGCATTGTGGCATTTTACTGAAGTGGCATTTATTTTTTTCTTCTTAGTAATTTCTTTTTGTTTTGAAATTTTTTCATTAGTTTTTAGCATTTTCTTATTTAGAAAGATAAGTGAAATGGCGTTGTACGTTGTTTCCTTAGTATTGCTATTTTTGTTTTAAGTTTCAAATTTTTGCAAAGTTGTTAAATTTGAATTATTTGGCATTTTCTCCATTAAATGAAACAGTGAATAGGAATGACATTTTACACTTGTTCTGAATAATTGCTTTTCTCTTTTGTCATTTGTAAAGTATAATCATTTTAAATTTAAAATTTTTTAGCATTTTTGTATTTACAAAAACACTGAACTGAAATGGAATTTTACTTTTTTTGCTGAGTTTAAATTTTTGAAAAAATTTTAATTTATATATATTTCTAACTTTTTCCTATTTTAAAAGTTACTAAAATGAAGTGGCATTTTAATTTTCCTATTACTATCTTCCTATTTTTGTTTTTTATTCTTTTAAAGTTTTTAAAATTTTTAATTTTAATTTTTTCGGTATTTTACTTTCAAAACGCTTAAATGACATTTTTTCTAATTTTTTCTTTTTAAAATTTTTAACAATTTTAAAATTTTTTTTAATCTTTCCTTTTAAAAAAACAAGCAAGCAGTACCATTTTTCTTTTCTATTTTTACTTAAATTTTTTTTTTCTTTTCAAATTTTCAAAATTTTTTTGGAATTTTTCTTTTTATAAACACTTAACTAAAACAGGGAATATGTATTGGGACCTGAATCAAAATTTTTGAGATTCCAGTTACACTCCTGGACACTGGAAACACTTCTGGGCCTGGACAGCGATATCTTAATGAGAAGTTGTAGATTTTAGGAGCCCAAGATGTGCTGACAGGGTGTCTAAGGCAGCTGTTACACTGAGAGGAGGCACACTCAGGTGGAAACATAATTCCCTCCCTAGGATCCCAATTTTCATGAAAGGAAAACAATTGTGTCATCACAGGTATGACAGACAGTGGAAGTAAGAATGGTAGCTGTGAAAAACAGGTCCACCACAGGGCAGTGGTGCCATTGGCTCGGATTATTCTTTCACCAGGAGCACGTACTAAGCAGCGGGCATCCAGAATCTGCGAGGACTCGATTTTCCATGTCGGGCTGGGGGCAGGCATATGGCCCCTTCTCGTCCTGCAGCTGCCTCAGGCCAGCAGGAACACGGCCTTGCTGTTTGCTGGGGCTCTGGATGCCTTGGCCCACGTCCTGCATCAGGAGCCCCCAGTTCTCCTGCAACACTGAGTGGAGTTGGCAGGACCAGCAGCTGTAGGAGATGAGCGTCCTCGTGATGAGGTCCTGCCCGCATCTGCGCTGCCTGACTCTGGACGTGGAGAGAGGAGTGTTCAGAGAGGTGTCTGGTTCCTTGATGCAGGCTCAGACCACCTTGCCCACCTGGGCCCTCCCGGCCACACTGCTGCATTCATCACCATGAACTTGCTGTTATCATGCCCATGGAAGGGTGCCTCTTGTGTTGATGACCGGACCTCTGCCAGGGCCGCTGCTCACTCCCTTTTTGCTCAGGCTCTGAGGGGTCACCCTCTCCACAGTTGTTAGGATACAGAGGAAGGAGCACATCTTTAGGATGTACAGATCAACAGACAGCTTTCACCAACTGACCGATGCCAGGGTCAGGGGACCTGATGGGCACACAAGATGTTCTCTGCCTCCTGCGGGGATGTGGGAGGGAGCACACAGCATCCCTGCATCGGGTGCTTGGCCAAAGAGTGAGGCTGAGTGTAAAATTGAGGAAAGCATCAGAGGTCCTCAGGATGCAGACCCCGAGCCAGACACCTGGCCTGCGCCTTCACACAGTCAGCGTTCCCATCATGGAAGACAGCAGAAGGGGGAGATGGTTGGGGTTCAAAAGGAGGAAAGAGACTCTTCTTGTCCTTTTGAGCCCCAAAGTCTCCTCCTGCTGCAGTCCTCTATGCGGAACGCTGGCTGTGTGAAGGAGAGGGCCAGCTGTCTGGGTCAGGGTCCACATCCTGCAGAATCGATCCTCTCCTCTGCTCACATGTAGCCTTGTGTGCAGGGCGCTGTGTCTCTGACACTGCCCACACCAGAGCTCGCCCCATCCAAAGGCAGTGTGTGCCCAGGGTCCTATGCTGTTTGCTTCCAGCTCCTCCTGACCTCAGATCTCAACAGGAGGCAGTTGGAGAGGAGCCAGGTGGTGTTCTCTCCAGAGCAGCTGTGGAGTCAGGCCTGGGTCTCCTTTGGTGTTTACTCAGATTGGAGTTGAAGACTGTGCCAGCTCTCAGGGAAGCAGCCTAGTGGATAAAAATAGCCGAGGGCAGTTCATGGTGTTGAAATTGCGTTCTTGGTGTTCTGGTTGCTGTTGAAGCGGAGCTCCTGTGTTAGATGTTTGGAAGAGGTGGGGATGTTACAATCAGCAATACTGTTCTGTACTTCCAACTGTACTTGGGATCTGAAAGAGGGAGAGAAGAAAAATCAAAGGAGAGCAGGGTCAGGTCCAGGTAAGAGCTGAGCCTGCATCTGGGCCACCGTGGGGCAGAGGCCAGGCAAACTCAATTCTAGTGGGGAGACTGGCTGAAGGGGAGCCCTGGGCTGCTGAGAGGGAAGTGGCAGCCAAATGAGCAGAGCCCTGCCCTGAACTCCAGCCCAGCTCTGCAGTGCTAGGGAACCAGGGCCCTTGGCCTCTCCTAACCAGGAGAGGGTGATGTCACCCCACTTCCTCCTGCTCTCTGGTGCATTAGAAATGGACTAGTTTTCTGCAGTAAGCAAAGAGAGCCGGGAGTGTAACCACAGCACAACTCATGTCAATAGAACAGACACCAAGTTTCTCTGAAGATGATTCCACATCTAGTTACACCTAGGACCATTCTGCTGTGTGCCTAATAGCTCACTCACTCAACTCTGAAGGGAACATTAACTTTAAAACAGGCACTCTTCAGTCATCCTAGAGTTTCCCCATTTTTTTTTTTCAGTTCCCCTAAGAAATTTTCTTTTTGAGAATATCCTGTTTGTATACTGGTCAGAGGGAAGGACAAACATGGGAAAATGAGACCTAAGAATCTGCATTGGAAATTGGCCTAGGAATAAGATCAGATAAAATGTGATTGTTCAATGTATATTTCTCAACCCAATAGAGGACTTGCAATCAAGTGAGTGGATGGTGAACAGCATGTTTTAGGGAGAGAAGTTGAACTTCAAACATTTTAACTTGATTATGAGGGGAGGTATCCTATTTTGTGGGTCAGGTTTCTACATGACAAGGATTTCTTACTGTATCTTCTATTTCAAATTATTGATCCAGAGAGGTTACAGTTCTATCCTATCTGAACAAACAGAAATGAGCTATAATCTGTGCACAGTGTAAGAAGGAACAAGTACATCTAAGACACACACACAGGATTACCTCTGTCTAGGCGTGAAGGCCCAGGAATCTGAAGGTCAGTGCCCACATGTTGGTCTGTGGTTTTCCCTTCATCTCCTGGCCAGGAAATTGGCACGTGATTTTCCTCTCTGTGGGCTGTGGTTTTCCCTTCATCTCCAGACCAGGGAATCGGCACGCAATCTTCCTCTCTGTGGGCTGTGGTTTTCCCTTCATCTCCAGGCCAGGGAACCGGCAGGCCAGTTTGCATTTCCTGGGCTTCCATTTTCCTTTGATAACATTTTCTTTTGGGGTACTTTGGACATCGCTGGGGCTGATGCTATGACTCTCACACTTTCTGGTGATGGGATCTTTGTGAGGACCTCCCTCCAGCTGGGAACAGGTCTTCCTCTCGGGGGCAGCAACAAAACTCAGTTCTGAAATAGAACCACAGCCATCAGGATTGGTATTCATGCTCTCTCTCTAGCAGTCAGGCCTGCAGCAGAGGGACAACAAGTAAGGAAAGGGGCCCTGCACAGTCATGTCCTGCACAGGCACTAAATTGTTTTCATTCGGGTTGATTTTATACATACTCACTGATAATTTATCACTAGGCAAAAGTAATAATCATGGCTCAGATGATCAGAATATTCAACAAAGTTGGACTAATAAAACACACAGCTCTTAAGCTTTTAAGGCACAGAAACCACACTGGATATCTGTTGAAGGTTTGGGGAAAGGAGCAGGATCATCTCACCTGGAGGGCATTGTAATGAGAGACAATGACAGGGGACCACTTACAGCTGGAATGGACAACACTAGCACAAGAACACATGCATTTCATACATGCACATGCTTTCCTGAACATACACCAAGCACATCGATTCATAGGATATATGCCTTCAGTGCCTGCCATATAGATAATAATATACATGATGTGGCCATCACTTTTCTGGTCAGTTGAAGGGGGAATCTAGTTACAGACACCTGAAGAATGGAGAGACAAGCTAAGGTGAAACACAAAAGTCAGGAAGAAATCCCAGGTGGGCTGTAAGGCATTGCTCTGGCCTAGCACACACATCTCCCTCCTGAGACAGTGTCTGTGCACTTGCCTTCCTCCCCATGACTGCCCAGCCCTGGCACTGGGTGTTTCTGAGACAAAGCCATACAACCACTGGTCTGTGGCAAAGACAAGTTCAAGGCCTCACTGGGACCCTGAGTACAAAAAGCCTGAGGGGAGAGACTAGGAACTTTCAGGCCATGGGACACTCCTGAGCTGGAGGTCTATCTGAGAACCTCAATGAGGTGCTGACCCTGCTCAGGGATGAAGCACACCAACGTCTTCCAAGTGGCAGATGTTTGCAGGAACTTTAGAAGTTCTTGTTTGCAGATCGGAACTTTTCTTCTGATATTTGAAATTCTCTCAACACAGTTTATTACAGAAGAAAAGTTTTAAGTATGAGTATCCATACTAGCCACATCACTGGCATGTCTGCTGAAAACAAGTGGACTGAGCCTACAGACAAGGGCCAGGCCAAGGAGTGGTCTCTGATTGCAATGCACACAAGGTGGGGTGACCTGGAAGAGTGACCTTGTTGAGCCTCAGGATCCTCTCCCCAAGGTGGGGACAGAATCTCCACCAGGAGAGGTCCAGTGAGGGTTGCATGGATCAGGACGGCACAGGGTCTAGCACAGCACAGATGCCCATGAGAGTGGCCTTCATAGCTGGGTGTGAATCGCTGTGTCCTGGGATGACTCTGCGCATCTCTGTATGTCTGTACAGAGGAAAAGCGCATGGTCTCACCAAGAAAAGGTGTCTGCTGATCTATAGCACTGGGGGGACAACTGTCACTGCCAATTCTACTGCAGAACACTGAGAAACAGGGAAGGACATCAGGATTTCGTGATTTTCCTACAGAATGATTTGATGAGTGAAGGTGCCTCAAACCCTAAAGATTCCTCCTGAGAGAAAGTGTAAAACCTCATCAAAGCTCAGATTCAAGGAAATTGGACTTTTTCTCTGCCCCCCCCCAAGTAGCCATACTCCAGGGCTCCTACTCAACAAGAGGCACTCTGCCTGTGATGATGTGAGGGACCTCTCAGCCTCAATCAGTTACTGAATTGATTTCTGTCTTGGTGCAAGGTTATGGAGGCTTTGCATGAGAAAAAAATGCCGAGTTTAGACACTGGATTAAAACTACAGGCCTCATATGAGCACAAATCAGTACTGTGAAGCAGAAGATGAAAACCTCACCATGGACACAAGTGTGGGACTGGACTGCTGTGGTTAGCACCAAGCTGCTTCAGAGAAAACAGAGTCTGCTGACCAAGGATACCTAGTGTCAGATAACTAAGGAAACATTGTACAGACTGCCAAAGCTTTAAGCCTGAGAAGTTTGGAGGATGCTGTTTACAATTGCAACTGCTGTTAAAATTAAGAACATCACAGTGACTTGTTAAAGAAGCCTCTCCAAGAGAGCTGGTGGTGGCTCAGTGGTTGCCATCATGCCTTCCCTTCCCCTCCTTCCCTGTCTTGACGTCAAAAGCTGCACCTTGAAAGTGGGCCTGGTGATAGCCAAGGGATTCCCCCGTTGGATGACTATGAACAAACTCCACCCAAAAGCCATATCCAGACGGAGATAAGTCCCCAGGGCCTGAGTGCACAGTGGTCTGTCTCACCCAACACAGGTTCAGCAACCCAAGACTACAGAGGCCACCTGGGAGACGAGTGGAGTGTTCCTGTTCACAATGGAGCACTCACTGTCTACAAGAGCAGAGCAGACAGGCTGTTTCTCCAGTGAGGACCAGGTGCTCCTAGAATGGGACCAGTCAGAAGCTTCCAGAAGAAGTGTAGGAGTTAAACATGTACCGTGAGAGTCTTGTGAGACATCTTGATCTTCAATCTCTGGAATCTCCCTGATGAGACTGGAGGGAGGGAAAGGTGGGTGAGAAACAGAAAGGGAACAGAAAGCCCCTTTCCAAGCAGTTCCAAAGAGGAGGCTTCCAGTAGTGGCTGGGCCGAGCAAGGGGCCACCCACAACCTTGTCCCTATCTGGGGAAGACTGGCTTCTAATTTCCTAGTAGTCCATGCTACTGCCTCCCAGTTACCTGAAAGTGTATGTGACAACTTGCTCTTGTACCTCCACTTCGTGATATTGATTTTCTGCAAACAAATTCAGAGAGATTGACCAGGTTAAGCAGGTTTTGGGTCAGATATGAGTATCCAATGGCCACTACTACCAAGGGGACAGATTGTTCTCGTGTGAGAACAGGAGACTGTGACAGAAATCCTCCAGGAGGACTAAGTTGACATCAGGAGATGGCCTTGGTGAGCCATCCTGGGCAAGGGGTCAAATCTCCCTGTTCACAGTTGGATCAGCATCTCAATAACCTCTGCCCAGAACCCTTAGAAACAGCCTGCAATGGTCCTCAGGGATTCTAAGCTCACAGCCCAAGAACTTTCTAGGAGGCAAACTGCAGTTGTCAGGCTGCTCTCATTAAAGGACCCAGGTTGCTGACTGTGGAGAGGAGGTAGAACACTGGGAGAGAGCTATGCATGGAGTCTGCATGCCCTGGAATTGAAACCTGTTTGATGCCACACAGAATCTTGGCTATTCTAAGAGTTGCTCATGAATAATCTCCCTCTTGTCTTTGGGAACAATACAAGCAATTCAAGAGCATGTATTTCAGGATGAACTCTTCCCTAGTCAATTCATCTTCCAATGGAAATGCCATTGAGAACATGAATGACAGAGATGCCTATATGGATTCTGTGGCCTGGACAAGCATGGATGTCAAAGGGCAGAGCTGAGGTTTGGGATTGAAGAAAAAGTAAGCAAGTGGCGACAGTGATCCTCCAAGGTTCCAACCAGGAGGGAGCAAACACCACCGGGGCACATGCTGCTGAGCTTGCTGTGAAATGGTCACAGCTCTGTTCCACAACAAATAAACAATATGAATTCTAACTCCTGCTTACAGCTCAGTTCAGGATTTTGAGTCTACAACCACAAGTCTGTAGGTCTGGCATGTAGCAATGACTTCACTCATCCTCAGTGGGGATAGGAGTACAAGGACAGAGCAGTCACCAGGGGCAGAGATGAAGGTTTACCTGCTCTCAAAAGAGATCATTCTGTACATAAACTGCCCACCAATCTGCTCTGGCTTTCTGAGCATAAGCAGCTCCTGTATGCTTGCAGTCAGACATCCCAGGCACAACTGGAGCCTAGAAATGTTCATCCAGGGAACTCTGTTCTGTGAAACAGCAACCACTTTCGACAGAAATGCAGATGGGCATGCCTCACTGGGACCCTGAGTGCAAAATGTCTGAGGGGAGAGACCAGGAACTTTCAGGCCATGGGACACTCCTGAGCTGGATCTCTATCTGAGAACCTCAATGAGGTGCTGACCCTGCTCAGGGATGAAGCACACCAACGTCTTCCAAGTGGCAGATGTTTGCAGGAACTTTAGAAGTTCTTGTTTGCAGATCGGAACTTTTCTTCTGATATTTGAAATTCTCTCAACACAGTTTATTACAGAAGAAAAGTTTTAAGTATGAGTATCCATACTAGCCACATCACTGGCATGTCTGCTGAAAACAAGTGGACTGAGCCTACAGACAAGGGCCAGGCCAAGGAGTGGTCTCTGATTGCAATGCACACAAGGTGGGGTGACCTGGGAGAGTGACCTTGTTGAGCCTCAGGATCCTCTCCCCAAGGTGGGGACAGAATCTCCACCAGGAGAGGTCCAGTGAGGGTTGCATGGATCAGGACGGCACAGGGTCTAGCACAGCACAGATGCCCATGAGAGTGGCCTTCACAGCTGGGTGTGAATCGCTGTGTCCTGGGATGACTCTGCACATCTCTGTACCTCTGTACAAGCAAAAGCACATGGTCTCATCAAGAAAAGGTGCCTGCTGATCTATAGCACTGGGGGGACAACTGTCATTGCCAATTCTACTGCAGAACACTGAGAAACAGGGAAGGGCATCTGGATTTTTTGATTTTCCTACATAATGACTTGATGCCTCAAACCCTAAAGATTCCTCCTGAGAGAAAGTGTAAAACCTCATCAAAGCTCAGATTCAAGGAAATTGGACTTTTTCTCTGCCCCCCCCCCCAAGTAGCCATACTCCAGGGCTCCTACTCAACAAGAGGCACTCTGCCTGTGATGACGTGAGGGACCCCTCAGCCTCACTCAGATAATAAATAGATTCCTGTCCTGGTGCAAGGTTATGGAAGCTTTGCATGAGAAAAAAATGCCGAGTTTAGACACTGGATTAAAACTACAGGCCTCATATGAGCACAAATCAGTACTGTGAAGCAGAAGATGAAAACCTCACTATGGACACAAGTGTGGTTAGCACCAAGCTGCTTCAGAGAAAACAGAGTCTGCTGACCAAGGATACCTAGTATCAGATAACTAAGGAAACATTGTACAGACTGCCAAAGCTTTAAGCCTGAGAAGTTTGGAGGATGCTGTTTACAATTGCAACTGCTGTTAAAATTAAGAACATCACAGTGACTTGTTAAAGAAGCCTCTCCAAGAGAGCTGGTGGTGGCTCAGTGTTTGCCATCCTGAGTTCCCATCCCCTCCTTCCCTGTCTTGACGTCAAAAGCTGCACCTTGAAAGTGGGCCTGGTGATAGCCAAGGGATTCCCCCGTTGGATGACTATGAACAAACTCCACCCAAAAGCCACATCCAGACTGAGATAAGTCCCCAGGGCCTGAGTGCACAGTGGTCTGTCTCACCCAACACAGATACAGCAACCCAATACTACAGAGGCCACCTGGGAAACCAGTGGAGTGTTCCCGTTCACAATGGAGCACTCACTGTCTACAAGAGCAGAGCAGACAGGCTGTTTCTCCAGTGAGGACCAGGTGCTCCTAGAATGGGACCAGTCAGAAGCCTCCGGAAGAAGTGCAGGAGTCAAACACGTACCGTGAGAGTCTTGTGAGACATCTTGATCTTCAATCTCTGGAATCTCCCTGATGAGACTGGAGGGAGGGAAAGGTGGGTGAGAAACAGAAAGGGAACAGAAAGCCCCTTTCCAAGCAGTTCCAAAGAGGAGGCTTCCAGTAGTGGCTGGGCCGAGCAAGGGGCCACCCACAACTTTGTCCCTATATGGGGAAGACTGGCTACTAATGGTGCAGACAGGATGCAATGTCTTCCATTTGAGGAGGCTCCTTGCTGACCACCTGGGGTAGACAAACTGAACGTTAACACAGGCAGCTTTCATGTGAGGAAAAATGAAGTGCTCATATGAAGCACGTGGCAAATGGAATGCCAGGTAAAACAGAAACCCCACTGCCTTCACTGAGAATAGTTTGTATGTGTAGATATATAATATTTACCCATGAATCAACTACAGCCAAATATTAAACGTTATTAAATCTATGTGTGCTTGTAGACTTCTTTTTGCATATTTGTACTGCTTGAAGTCAACGAAAAGTAAACAGTCAAACAGTACTGTCATCTTCTTGGAGAAAGAGTATTAGGTTTGAGGTGATAGGTGAGTAGCAGAAATATTGAAAGTGCATGGAGACAGAAGCAGAGAGAAATAGAGGATTTCCTCTGTGATGAGGTCATTAGGATCTCAGCCTGGAGAAATGACTCTCAGTTGGGCCACTAGTACCCATGAGTATTTGGAAAACGAAAACTGGCTTCAACAGATTTATGTAAATTACATGCAGAGTCAATGAATTCACATTTTAGGATACTGGAGAGTATCACAGCTTTAGCTGTCAGTCTTATTCTCAGTGCTGAGGCACTAGTTTCTGTCAGGTGGTTTCACGTGATGAATGGGGTGCAGAGAAGCTCATGAGAAGAGGAGACCTGTGAGCAGCACCCTGCCCTTCACTGCATGTGAGAGAGGCAATGATGGCAAGGAATCCCTGGAGAGGCTCCTTCATGGAGTCAGCCTGCTGCAGGTCACTACGTGGAAAAGGTAGGGAGAAGTAGTACCCTAACGATGGCACACAGCAGTGCTTATGGGGTACCACAGGGTTGGCTCAATGGATGGGAGATGCCCAGTGGCACTGCTCTTCTTCCCTGGACCAGGAGTCTGCCCGTGTCAGCACTAAGCTCACTGCCCAGGGTTCCTAAGACTCACCTGGAGTGTGATAGGGCTTGTGTCTCAACTTCTACTTCATCATTGTCATTTTCCTTTTCTGCAAATGAATTCAAATAGGCACAGTCATCTAGGATGATTCCCTCAAAGCCTGTACAATGCGCTGTCCAGTGCTAGCACAGCACACCAGTATCCTCAGTGTCACTGCCGACTCCTCAGATAGGAATTGTCTAGAGGGTTGAGGTCATTTCTGAGGGAACTAGCTTGTTCATTTTTCTTTGACACATGAGGTAAACCTCCCTATTCCTCCAGTCATCACACCAATAATCGCTGACCTGATTCCCTACACAAATGAAACAAATTTTCCCAAGTGTGGGTGCTGTGGCATAGCAGGTAAAGCTGCTGCCTTTAACCCCAGGATCCCATGTGAATGCCGGTTCAAGTCCTGGCTCTTCTACTTCTGATCCAGATCCCTCTAATGCACCTGGGAATGCAGTAGAAGATGGCCCAGTACTTGGGCCCTGCACCCACATAGGAGACCTGGAGGAAACTCCTAGTTCCTCCCTGGGCCTGGTCCAGTCGATGCCATTGTGGCCATGTGGGGAGCAGACCAGAGTATGCAAGAGTTGCCTCTCTTCTCTCCCTGTTTCTCTCTCTAATTCTGCCTTTCATAAGGTAAAATCAAATCTAAAATAATATTCTCTGGAGACACTTGGTTCCTAGTGTGATTCCTTTCCATGAGAGGGAGTGCAGTGCCCATGGTTCTCAAACAAGCTATCTTGGTAGTTTGTGGTTTACCATATTTTGTGCATTGAGGATAAGATAAAAGGTGGAACAGGTGAATTTTCAGTTCTGGGTATCAGAGTGCATGTGTGCAGCACAAGAGAAAACTTGGCTACTCATGGAATCTCTAAGCACAGGTCGCAGACTTGCAGCCTGGGGACACACTACTAAAGGAATGGCAGAACATTCTGTACGTGTGGTAGGTAAAATGATGCCAACGTTGAAGGGACAGACAACGTGGTTGGGTTCAATGAAACAGGGGGAGTATCTTGACTGCAATGGAGACAAGCATGCTGCTGGCTCTGACAGGAAACAATGTCACATGACAGGGATGGGGAATGACTCGTGTGATCAACACTGCAGGGGGCGGAGGGGTCTGCTTCATTAGGCACAGACGGCAGAGACAAGCATGAGATGTGCTGCTTAGGTTTTGTGCATCTGTGACATTCTGGCAATGACTGAGCACTGGAACCTGAGTGACAAAGCCACACAAGGAATGGGAGGACAGCAAGGCTGGATGGGCCAACCACACCTGTGCAACAGACTGGTTGAAAAAGAACAGATGCTGAGAATGTCTCAGACCATCCCATGTCCGGGAGCCCTCTCAGTCAGGTGGGAGTGAGGAGTGCAAGGATAGTGCGGGCTCCTTGGCAAGCAGAGGGGGTTGTATCACCTCACAGTGGGGGACTCACCATTCTGCATCTGGAGCAGAGAGCATGTCCTGCTGCTGCAGGGGGCACCAGCTGCTCCACGTGGAATGGTCAAGCTCAGAAACAACCGGAAAAATCGAGGGAGTGAGGTAGCACTCGTCCAGCGAGTCCTCTGGGTCTTCCTGCTCTTGCTCCTCTGGGAGCTCCCTGCTGAGATGGGAGGGCAGAGACACTGAAGACACACATCACAGGTACAGAAGTGACTTTGTCATCAGACTACAGGTAAAAATATGTGAGGGATTTTCAAAGGGGGAATATAGAGGGAAACAATACAAAAGGGAACGTTAGGAACAGAGCCATTTCATCATTGGCTGAATGTTCCAAATGGCTCTAGTCACCAGTTCCTCCAGCATTTCGATTTCCTAGTAGTCCATGCTACACTGTCTGCTCTGCCTCCGAGTTACCTGGAAGTGTATGTGACAACTTGCTCTTGTACCTCCACTTCGTGATATTGATTTTCTGCAAACAAATTCAGAGAGATTGACCAGGTTAAGCAGGTTTTGGGTCAGATATTGGTATCCAATGGCCACTACTACCAAGAGGACAGATTGTTCTCATGTGAGAACAGGGAACTGTGACAGAAATCCTCCAGGAGGACTAAGTTGACATCAGGAGATGGCCTTGGTGAGCCATCCTGGGCAAGGGGTCAAATCTCCCTGTTCACAGTTGGATCAGCATCTCAATAACCTCTGCCCAGAACCCTTAGAAACAGCCTGCAATGGTCCTCAGGGATTCTAAGCTCACAGCCCAAGAACTTTCTAGGAGGCAAACTGCAGTTGTCAGGCTGCTCTCATTAAAGGACCCAGGTTGCTGACTGTGGAGAGGAGGTAGAACACTGGGAGAGAGCTATGCATGGAGTCTGCATGCCCTGGAATTGAAACCTGTTTGATGCCACACAGAATCTTGGCTATTCTAAGAGTTGCTCATGAGTAATCTCCCTCTTGTCTATGGGAACAATACAAGCAATTCAAGAGCTCTCTCCCCAGGCCCTTTAGGATTTATGTATCTAAAATCTAGGAGTGTTGCTATAGTACTGACTCATCCTATCAGACTGATCATGGTGAATAAGGGTAGAGGAGTTTCTATAGAATGCTGAATGAACTCCATAACACCTCACATAAATAATTCTATGCAGTTATAGAGAAACATTGAACACTGATTTTGTAAGGGATGTTCCTGGATTCAGCTATTTTTTGGAACTGTACAGGAGTACAGTATAAAAGACTTTGTGTCCTGGTTTTGAGATGATTGCATAGCTAAGATAAGCTGTCTTAAAGGAGATAGAGACTAGGGATGGAAGTAGGGAAACTAGGATCACAACTTGGCCCACACATGGGAAGTGTTACCAAAAGCCTGCATGGGGCTAGAACTCCAGGGATGCAGTAGTAGAACAGAATGATATCACTGCAGATGACAGCAGGCATTATTTCTAAGTTAGAGTGTCTGAAAGGCACTTCCTATACAGGGCCTCTGTATGTTCCCATAGGCTGGGGTGCAGTGAGACAAACAGCATCTGAGGGGAGGGAAGCTCCTTGACTCTCCTGATGTCTATGTTCAGTGCCACAACCTGGACCCTGATTGAAACCAACTTGTGTCTGCAGGGCCTGTGCTCAAAAGTGACCCTAATCAACCCAAGAGTTATTGTGTACAAAGAATGGAGAGGGTACCTGGGAGAATGGTGACAGGTTCTTCTTTCTTGTGTGAACAAGCGTATTCCCCATCTACACCTAGCACACCGTGGGTGTCCTTAGCATCAGGAGACATTTGCACAGTGCCCTCAGGCAGGCAGGAGTCACTCGGCAGGTGGTCAACAGCACCAGTGATAGATGTTTCCTGCTGTGAACTTTGTGGGGTTTCCATTTCATCCACTTCCAAGAGCTCCCTGAGAAGCCAGGTGGGATAAGGATGACAGAGATGAAACCAAGAAGGAAGAGACACCAGGGGGTTGGCTGGTTTGGATGGGGTGCATAAGGGATCAGTCATAGACAGCATAGAGGTGGTTCCCTCCACTCTGGACACCGTGTGGCTGCCTAGGGGGAGAGGGCCTGGGAAGAGATCAGCCTCTGCTCATCACACTCAATACACAGCAGCTAATGAGGAAGCAGCCTCCACTGTCGCTGCATGGCACAGTCACAGCACAAGCACATATTGACAGCCATACGGGCTGACACCCTGTGCTCAGGTTGGGTTGTTGCAGTGTCCTGCAGCCATGTGATCAAGGTCCTAGGGGCTTGGCAGATTCTAGAGGTGTGCTACCTTCTGGGCCTTCTCTTAACCAAGTCACAGAACAGCAAACATGGTTTTGTAGAGGTGCTTTTCTGCAGTTGAACCTGGCTGGATTCTTCCTAACTGCTCCCTTTGCACATTGCCTCTTTGCTAGTTTTCTCTGATGAGAACTTCAGCTAACTCTGTAGAAAGGAGATGAGCATCTTCCTCCCTTTTCCAGAAAGCAGAGAACAGAGGTTCCCTTTGTGTGCAGGCAACACCTAAGGCTGTGAGTTCATGATGGATCCTATCAGCAACTAGGACCAGGACAACAGACACCTACTTGAACAGGGGGATTTCCTAGTTGGCAAGGAAGGACTCAACACAATCTGCAGTTGTGTTTCTGCGTGCGTCTCAACTCCATGACTGTCTCGGCCCCTTTTCTGTTCTTTAGGAGACCCTGTGCATCCTTCACCCATTTGTTGCCAGCTCCTAATCATTCACTATTACCTGTCAGCAACAGGTCCTTGTGCTGGTGTTTCCTCCTCTTCAATATTTTCTGTAAACAAATTCAGAAATGTCCAATCAGATATTATAACCCCCTACCCCACTACAATCAAGGTGGCCTCTGTGTGCATATGAATATCTACATATGGGCCAATAGTGGACAAAAACTTCAAATATTCTGTGTTTAAAGGAACACCTTGCCATTCTCTTGTGGTCCATCAGGCTTTGTGTCTCTGCACTTGGAGATCAGAATCATGGCAGATTCTGCCTGAAACTAGGCCAACATCCTTTGCTCCCATATCACTGGAAGCTTCTCAAGCTTCCCTGGGACTTCTGCCTGTTATCCCTCATCCTGCCACTAGTGGGAGTCCAAGGCATGGGTTCTATGTTCCCATGGGTCTCACAGAGAACCTCCAGCTGTCATGAAGAAGCAAAGAACCCGACTTCCATCCCTCCCTCACAGGCCCTCCACGTTTTCTCTGCTGTATCATTAGAGGAAATTCTCTCTGTGTTATGAGTTCCCTTCTCAACAGCTTTCCTCACTGAAGTTCTACTAACGCTAGTGCCTGGTCTGGCACTCCCAGGGAGAGGAGGGCCTTTGTCCTATTGGGAAACATACAAAAAACAGCTTCCACCTTTGATGGTTACATCTGCTCTGCCCCAGAGTTTTTGGTCCATTTAGTGAATGAGGATAGAGAAATCCTGGATGGAGAAAGCAATCAGCTGTCTACCATTTGAAAACCACACTGAGCACAGAGCTGGAGGCTTCCATTCAACTTAGCTCAGTGACTTTGTTCAGCCTAACAGTGGCCTCACTCCACAAGGTCTTTCTGGTCTTAATATGAGGATGGACCCTGCCTCTTCCCCCAAAGGCCCACCACAATCAGGAAGGGAGGAGAGCTTTGGGATACTGCAAACTTGAAAGACTTCTCTGCCCCTATCTGTTTTTCCCAAGCAGAGCTGACCTTGTCATGGCACACATGTTCAGTACCAGGAAGAGCTGAGGCAAATGCCCATGGCAGAGAGATGAATGCATCTGAACCCCTGAGGCTTCTCAAATGACAGCCTGTGCCCAGCTTACCTGCTCCAAGCAGGTCCTCAAGGCACGCTGACAGCCGGACAGCCTCAGTGAGCAGTCGTCGGAAGCCCTGCCCCGTACAGGTCTCAGGGTCATGCACAGTGAGCACGTCCTTCAGGTACTGCTGCAGGATGTGGGCTAGATTTCTCCCCCTTTGGACCTTTGGACGTAACTGGGAAAGTTCTTGGTCCTGATCTTCAAGGATGCCACGGCAATGCCTAAGGTGCAAGAGTGGAGAAAGTTCTAGATGGGAAGGGATGAGTGTTAGGTTCTCTGTGTTTCAACAGATTTTCATAACAATGCCTTATAGAGCCCTCCACCAGCATCACCACTCAGGTTTGGAGAAATACCTGTGCCAAGAAAAGCAAAGGGCAACACAAGGCCTTGCTCCCACTTTTAGAGAAAGTTCTTGTCACAATTCTGAGATTCCATTCGGTTATTTTCTATCAACAGTGCAAGGATTCTTCCTTCCTCGCCTTCATAAATGTGCTAATTCAGTTCCTCCTTCCAGCCACAGGCATTTCCATGTAGGAAGACACACAGTGTACAGTGCAGTGACTGGGAATCATGGTGCATGCAGGGGTTACATGGCAAGAAACAAGAATGAAGGTCTGGCAGGGCCAAGCTAAGCATCAGTCTTCTATATCAGGAGGTGATGGTGACTAAGGGTAAATGAGGATTGATTGCAAGGTGACCAAACAGAGGAGCCCAGCATCCCCCCTCCTCCCCTGAGAAGACCCAATGCAGCTCCATCTCGAGGTGAGTGCCCACAGAAAAGCACCTCCACACTAAGGGAACCATGAGAACATGGGAAGAAGAGAGAACAGGCATAGCGCCACCTACAGAGGACCAAAGCTAACTGGTGACTGGATTCCCAGAAACACAGCCATGGGGATTTCCTGTTGCAGAAGAGAGAGTAAACAGGAGGGCCCCATGGGAGCCCATCCATCTGGACACCTTACTTACAGACTCCACACTTGCAGCTCTGAAATCAGATTCCTCTGCTCCCTCCTTGTTTTATAACGTCTGAGACACAGGGCTTTGCTGTAAATCTCTGCCCTTGTTTGGCACAGGCTGGCTCAGTTTTTGATTTGGGCTGCCCACTAGTGAAACACATCCCCACCTGCCTGCCCTACACAGAGAGCCTTACCTGAGCAGCTCAGCAGACCTGGGCTGCTTTGGCAGGGGCCTCCACGTGTAGCTTCTTGGTCAACATGGACTCCATGATGTCTTTTTTTATTATTATCTATTCATACCATTTTATTAGGGAAATAGATAGTAATTGCGGAGGGAAAAATGTATTTTCATTTTAATTTCTCCTGAAGGGAGAATTTTTTCAAAGTACCTATTCACTTTTACTTTCATTGTAAAATTAATTTTTAACATTTCTTTTAAAAATTTATTCATTCATTTATTGTAAGGAATATACATTTCATAAGACAACTTTAGGAATATAGTTATTCTTCTCCCCATACCCAGGGTACCACCCACACTCCCAGCCCAGCTCCTCTTCCCTCTCTACTTCTCAGTCTCATTCTCCATTGAGATGCATTTTCAATGAACTTTGTACACAGAAGACCAACTCTATATTAAGTAATGATTTCAACAATTCCCACACACACCCACACAAGAATAAAAACTGTTTGAGAAATGTTTCACTGTAACTCTCTCTTAATAAAACTCATTGAGGACAGAGGTCCTGCATGGGGAGTCAGTGCACAGTGACTCCTGCTGTTAATTGAACAATTAGCACTCCTCTGTATGTTGTCAGGGACCACACAAGGCTCATGACATGAGCTGACTAGGCTATGGAAGCATTTTGAAAACTCTGTCTGTATTTAGACAAGGCCATCAGCAAAGTGGAAGTTCTCTCCTCCCTTAGAGAAAAGTGCATCCTCCTTTGATGGCCACTTCTTTGTCTGGGGTCCCACAGTGATCCTACATGGAGAACATTGTTTGCCACAGTGCCTTGGCTTTCCATGCCTGAGATGCCTCAGTTCTCCCTTCTGAGCTGCCCCACCGGAGACACCCACACACCACCCACCTTCCTGCCCCACACAGAGACACTTACCTGAGCAGCTCTGGGACCGTGGGCTTCTCTGCCAGTGGTTCCACCAAGTGGAGCTTCTTGGTCAGTATGGACTCAATGATGTTTTTAAACTTCTCACAATCTGGGGAAAGACAGACACGCAGAACTCAGGGAGGTGCTTTTGTAGTCAGTGCCTGCTGAAGACCAAAAGAACTCCAGGGCCAGGCTCCAGATTGGGAGTTTCACATCTGTATTTCATCACCTCACTACATAGCATCTGAAATTTCCAATTTTTAAAAGATTTATTTATTTATTTGAAAGGCAGAGTTACAGAAAGACATAGGCAGAGAGAGAGAGAGAGAGAGAGAGAGAGACTCCATCAGCTGGTTCACTCCCCAAATGGCTGCAAGGTTGGAGCTGTGCCAATCTGAAGTCAGGAGCCAAGAGCTGTTTCTAGGTCTCCCATGTGGATGCAGGGGCCTAAGCATGTTGGTTATCTTCTACTGTTTTTTAGGCCATAGCAGAGAGCTGGATTGGTAGTGGACCAGCCTGAATTGAACTAGTACCCATATGGGATGCCAGCACTGCAGGCAGCAGCTTTACCTGCTGAACCACAGCACTGACCCTGCTATTTCCCAATAAAATGGGAAAAAAGAACCTCAAAGATACAGAAGGTGACTTGACAATGTGATTCCACTGGTGTTTACAGAATCAGAGTTCCCAGCCCCTGAGCTCAGACTGAATCATGAGCCACTGGACTCAGCAAGTCTTGCAGCCTCTCAGGTCAAACAAGAACCTGGGACACGATGTCATCACCTTCTGTATGTTTGGGAGCTTGATAAGGGTGTAGGACTGTTTCCTTGCATTGGGTAAGATTTCAAGTGTTTGTTATTACAGTCTTAAGGGACCATCTTTCATGGAACTGTGTAGAGTACAATGTATAACAAAGTAAGGCCCTGAGGCAATATGGCCCAATAAAAAGTATAGTTCCTGCTAAATTAGAAACAGTGCAATAAGGGCCTCATGGATTTTGTTGATCTTGAGCAAGGAACCATCCTTGGAGTTGTATAGGAAAGAAGGAGTGCATTTTATTGTGACAATCTACAGAGGCAGGAATTATGATAGCACCTATGAATGGGAGAGAAATCAGTTACAGAGAAGGTGGGCAATGGGGAGCACCCAGGTGAGTGGCCCTGATTCCCTCCCTACACCCTGTGCTCCCACTCCCAGGTCTCAGGCACCGTCTTCCTCTTCTGGAAGAAGAACTTGTGCTCCAGGAGCAGGACTTTCTCCCAGTGGGGAGGCTGTGTTGTGAGGGTGTTCCCATGGATACCAGAGTTCCAGTGCACAGGAGACTCTCTGTCTCTCTGGAAGCCCATCCTGCTCACTCTGAACACATGTCCACTTCTGGACCTAGGACAGTGCTTTGCCAATGGGAACTCAACAGAAGCTTGAATTGAGTGAAATGCGTTAGCCCCAGAAATGAGGCCCACAGTGATGGTATAAGGCTGCAGGAGCTGACACAGACAGGATGATCATAAACATGCACTCAATATGGTGGAGCCTGACCCTGAGGACAACAGGCAGCTCTATGCCTCATCAGGAATCCATGACAGATTCAGCACTCCTGTCACCCTACACCTCACTGCTACCTTGGAAAACTTGTGAAACCCTGTGTGTCAGCTTGGGAGTGTGGTCAGGAGGAAATTAAGTTCAGCAAAAGGAAGACAAAAATCACGTAGTGAGGCCATTTAGTTCCTCAGGAGAAGATACAGGACAATCATCACTGTGGTGAAATGACCTGAGAGAACTTACTGTATTTTTTCAGCTCCCTGGCCAGGGCAAAGTTTGTAGCCTCAGCTATGAGAAACTTCTCCTGGAGCTCCCAGCAGTCCTGTTGGCTCTTCGCCAGCTGGGATCGCAATTGCTGGCATTCGAGGTCGTTCAGTTCTGCCACGGGATCTGATGCAGGGCTGTGGGATCCTGCCATGCTGATGGTGTGTCACAGCAGGACAACAGGGACTGGGGAGAGGAAACCCAAACACAGGCGAGGGTCAAACAAATGACATCCAAGAGTTTCAGGTAGGCTTGAGGGGTGACAATAACTGTCCAGCTTCACTTACTGATGTGAAACTCCTGATCCACAGCCCGACAACACTGGGAAGTTCTTCACTGGACAAACAAGGATAAAACTGCCAAAGCCTAGATTGAAGGCACTGCCTGTAGCTCAGTCTCTGCTAGGACTGGCTGTTGTGTGGCAGCTAACGGTCTGCCGTTGCCATCGCAGAATTAGAAGGTGGAGCGTGTCACGGAATCTTTGGAACTCTGCCTTCCAGGGGCCTAAGCTAGGTTGAGGCACAAGACCCCCACTGCTGGGGACAACCTACCCATCTGCCAGTCTCATAGTTATAGATCCTGCACTGACACCACAGACCGTATCCCCAAATCACCTAAGCATGTATCACTCGTATAGTCATGTATGTGTATGAAAATACCAAGACAGAAAATGTGTCCCAACAAGCCTTCCTTTCTCTGGGCTGTTAGGAAGTCACCCCACCTGCTGTTTAAAGAGATCTCAAGGCTTTTCTACCTGTTTGAAATGATGAATTTTAAGCTTCCCTGATAAATGGGTCATTTTATTTTCTTAGAAAGGAATTTTGAGAGTTCTTTTACTTCTCTGAATAGAATTGTTATATCAGGTATGCAATTTCAAAATGTTTTCTCCCTATGTTGGCCTGTCTATTCATTTTCTTATCGATGACTTTGAACAGGAAATTTGAACATATTGGGACATTTATGAATTTATTCTCAACTATTTATATAATGATGACCTACTTATTTTTAGGAAGATGTGTGTTACATATTTGAAGTAGTTTTTTAAATTAACTTCTTTATTTAATGTTGTATGTATGTCATAAATGCAACATTAAGAACATAGTCCTTCTTCCCACCTACCTGCCCTCTCACCTATTCTCCCCCTCTTCCTCCTCCAACTCCCCTGTTTAGTCTGAGAAAGAAAAAAAGAATGGAACAAGAAAACTAAGAGAACTGTTACTCAACAGCCTAGCAAAGGGCTGTCCAAGGTTACTGCTTCTCAAAGGTGATTATATCTCTCTGTGGTTTGGAATGGTGTTCCCCTGATGAGTACTGATAATGGGCAACTTGTCATAAACCTGGTACTTTCATGGAGTAATTCTACTCAGGTCCTTTGCCAATTTCTCAGATGAATGATTAATTATTTTGGCTACTCAGTTCTGTGAGTGCTTTCACACTATAGCACAGAGAAAGCAAAAGCCTTGTGAACAATGTACATAGGTCTTGGCCCCATGTGGGGATCATGGGGATCCTTACTTTGGGGCTGTGGAACTGCACCACTGCCATTTTATTGGATTGTGCAGTGTGTTGCATGGCAGAATTGAGCATGGGTGGAAAAATGTACCTAGCTGAAGAGGGCAGGAAGGGTGTGCTTTCTCTCTCTCCCTCTTTTTTTTTTTTTTTTTTTTTTTTTTTGGTGGTGACACTGAAGTTACCAGGATCTCTAGTTTGCATGGAAAGCTTTTGTTCAGCATAAACCTGCTCTGATTCCATCCAGGGATCTCCCTGGCCAGGTGCACAGGTTCACTGTGGAGTCAGTTTCTCTCCTGACCTCAGTGCTCATGGAAGGTGGCTCCTTCAGGGGCTGGACAGTGGAGTAGGCCTTTCTGAGTATCCCCTGAGGTTTCCGACACAATGTGTCCTTCATCTCACCCACACTTGGTCTCACCCTAACATTACCTTGTCATTCTCTGGGTCATTCTCACGCCCCAGAGAGCTGCTCATCTTCCTTCATCTGCACCTTCAGTTCTGGGTTCTCAGGATGTGGACTCAGCTCCGGATCTGGGAGGAGACACAGGGGAGGGACTAGGTCAGCTCTCAGCCTCAGTTCCCAGGGCACGTGTGGTTCCCCAGGGACTCAGAGGAACCTAAGCAGCAGGACCTCAGAGAGGAACAATACACACTTTACCTCACTGATGAGGAACCTGAGCTCCATAGAGAATAAGAGGTTTTCTCAGCACCACAGCACCTGATGGAAGGAGGGCCACCCCATGAGCTTTGACCTCCAGCTTCCCTGTGCCGAGCATGGCTCTTATCTTCCAAGAATGCATTGTTGGGTTTTGTAGACTTCAGATAAAGCACTGCTATTTCTGCTGCTAAAAACAAACAAACAAAAGTATGAGGGTCATTCCTTGGACACAGCTTTTCCCACATTTCTATTGACCCATTATGTGTTCTCTGTCTGTTTTCAACCACTGGGTGATAGAATGGGACCAGAGAACACACAAGTTGAATGAGTATTTAACACAGCCCTGCCTGTCCTGTGTGGTCCCTTACCTCTGGAATTCTCCCTCAGGATTTCTCCTCTGCTGCAATGCTGGAGAGTGTCAGACCTTGTGGAGGTCATTTCTGTATGGAGATCCATGTTCTTTTTGTCTCCTGGAGCCAGGGAGAGTAGAGATTCATTCTGGACCTCTGCGGACCTAGCTTTTCTGCTAGGCAATGTTGCCAGTTTCAATGATAAAAAATTAAAAACCACAATGACCAATGGATATCGGGTCAATAAAGATTTTCCTGAGGTGCCTGAGATCGTGAGAAAAGCCCCTGTTAGAAAGTGATCAGAGCCAAGCACGGGGCATTGGCAGACTGACTCAGGTAAAGTGTATGTGCAAAACAACCAAGAGAAGGCTGCTGACACCAGGAAGAAGACACACATCAGAGGAGTGTGAGAAGAAAGCATGATTACTGGATCAAATGAAGATGGAAGTATCACAGGCTGAGACCCAGAGGCAAGGCCCCACGTCACAGAGGATTAGTCCTCGGCCTTGAAAGCTATCCCAGGAAGTCCTGTTGGATTTACCCATCTCAACTTGATAACTTTTGGATCCATGACTTCCTTGTAGGCTCCATTTTTGCCCTTGCTGAATTAGAGTCACTGTCATTGTCACCCTATGTCCACTGCACATGGGGACAGATAAGCAGTGTGTTTATTGTCAGAGTAGCACAGATGGAAGGAATCACACACAGCATCCACATGTAACAAATGCCTCCAACACCTCATTCACATCTCCCTTCATGACCCAGGGAAATCCCACTTGAGGTGTCTACCTCACAGGTGCAGTGTTTCCTTTCCTCATATGTTCTGGATTATTAATTCTTTATTAGCTAACAGTTTGGAATTCCAAAGTCAATGGTTTTATTGTATACTCACAACCATCTTGATGAGAATTGATAAGTGCTATCCAATTCTATACAGATACAAAAAATTAAATACCTTATGATAAGTTCAACCAGGATGTGAAAGTCCTCTTCAATGAAAATTCAAACACATTGAATCTAATGAAAGAAAATGAAGTAGACACAAAATAATGGAATTCCCTCATATATTCTTGATTTGGAAGAATTAATATTATTAAAATATCAAAACTACCCAAAACAACTTAGAGATTTAATGTAGTCCCCATCAAAATACTGATGACATCCTCACAGAATAAGAAAAAAATCTTAAAATTCTTATGAAAACACAAAAAGCTTGGAATACTCAAAATATTCTTAACAGAATGAAGCCAAAGCTGAAGGCACCACAGTTCAAAATTAAAGATATGCCACAAGGCTACTGAGACCAAAACAGTATGGTACCAACATAGCAATAGACACATAGGACAATGGAAAAAAAGAGAACCCCTAGAAATTCACGCACCTACATCCCACTTACTTTTGACAAAGTTGTGGAAAACAATACCTGGAGATATGCACATCTGTTTAATTGGACTGGGAAAATTGGATTTTAGTTTACAAAAATCAACTCAAAATGGATCATGATCTAAATCTAAGATCTGTAACTATGAAACTAACAGAGGAAAACATAGCACAAATGTTCTAAGAAATAGGCAGCATTAACACAGTTTTTGGGCTAAAACCAAAAGAACATGGACAGCAAAAGAAAATTGGAAAAATCTGATGTTATCAAACCAAGAAGTTTCTGCCCAGGTAGATACATTTTTACAGGCTGGGTAAGTGCACCCGATGCTGTGAAATCCAAAGAACTGCCTAGAAGTAACACACTGGCAAAGACAGAGACTGTCTTTGGGAAAGGATGGGAAAAGATGCTTATGCTAATGGATACTAGATGTGAGCAAGAGTACCTATGGTTGGATCAGATAAAATAGGTTTGATGATAAAAACTGGAACAAGAGATGACAGTAGCTATAAAATGATCAAGGGTTTGATTCAACAAGAGGATGTGACAATGGTAAGTGCATATGTACCCATTGTTGTAGCACCCTAATTTATAAAACAAAACTATTATATCTAAAGGACACATGAATTCTAATGCAGTGATAGTGGGGGACTTCAACACTCACCTTTCATCAACAGGAAGAGTTCACCTGGAAAAAAAATTAACAAACATCAGAGAGAAGCTACTACAGACCAAATGGCCATAACAGATGACTACAGAATATTTCACTCCACAGCTGCAGAATACACATTCTTTTCATCTACATATGGAACATTCATTAAGACAGATCCATAAAGCAAATCTTACAAATTCAAAAAAATTATAATGTATGCTATAATAGTAGAAATCAACAACAAAAAACCCCCAAAGATATACAAATACATAAAGGCTGGATAAGAAACCAAGAGGGAAATTTAAAAATCCCATGAATCCAATTAAAACAGAAGCACAACACACTGAATCTGATGGGAAATTCTAAAAGTAGTATCAGAGGAAAGTTTATGGGATTAAGTTCCTACATCAAATAATTAGAAAGACTTCAAATAACCTAACAAAGTATCTCAAAAATCCTAATAAAACAGGAGCAGACCAATCCCAAGTCAGTGGAAAGAAAGAATAAGGATGCAAGCAGAAAGAAAGGAAAGAGAGACAGAGAAACGAGGGCCTCACACGCAAAATCCAGAACACTGCAGGAACCCAACATGCAGTGGCGTCCACCATGCAAGACTCGTGTGCTCGCATTGCTGTTGTCTGATTATCTCAGAACAGAGCAGTCATCCAATACAAGAGAACACAGACCATCCCATTGATCGCAGCCTTTCCAGGCCTATTGAGTGTAATCTGAGTTGATAAAATCTCACAATAAAGAGTTAAGTGCTGGTAAAAGTTAACAGAAGGTAACAGGGGCTGTCTAGTTTCTGCAAGGGGGTATAGAAAAGAACATTCTCATCAGTGGCTGTGAATGTGAATGGGAAAATCTTCATGCCAGGCAATGGGGCCAGAACAGCACCATCAGGAATGTACCAGAAATTTGATCTTGCAATTGCCTTTATAGGATTACAACCTGGAGAAGTACTTTCACAATCAATAAGGGACACACCAAATATATGTAGATGATGCTCCTTGAGACATTATTAATAATACTAAACATTTGAATCATTTGAGGAATACTAACATAGGTGAATAGAAGGGTCCATTATACCATGAACAGTTATCCATGAGTCTAAGGCAATGAGGAGATTCTGAAAGAGCAGAGGGTGATGGGCTGGTAAGAACTAATGTGACTGAGTAGGTACTGTGTGCTAGACACAGACAGGCCTCGATGCTTTGCCCCCACATCTCATTAAAACATGTGCCAAGTCATGTAGAAAGTACTCCTACTTGTTCATTTCTTAGTGTCTTCTCTACCATGACTATTATGAAACACCAGTGAAAGAACCTGAAGCAGACACAAACACTAGAAAGACATCCATGTCCACGGATTACAAGAATTAACATGATGAAAATGTCTACTCTATACAAAGCAATTTACAATTCAAGGCAACCCACACCAAAATATGAAGCACATTATTCATATAACTAGAAAAAGCACCTAAGAATTTATGTGGAAAAAGCACAAAAGACACAGGTGTTGTTTTCACCCTATTGGAGGAGGGATCCTTCCCACACATCCCTGCAATCTCATTAATGTGAGCACGGGGTTCAGGCAGGATTTCTGCACATCTGATTTAAAGTAGAAGGAGATGGGGCCCGGCTGTGGCTTTGTAGGGGAAGCCTCTGTCAGCCGGGCCAGGATCCGCCGTTCATGTCCCAGCTGCTGCTCTTGCAATTCAGCTCTCTGCTTATCGCTTAGGAGAGCAGTGGAAGATGGCCCAAGGGCTTGGGCCCCTGCACCCATGTGGGAGGCCCAGATAAACTCCTGGCTTCAGATCAGCCCAGAGCAAGGCATTGAGGCCATTTCGGTGGTGAACCAGCAGATGGAAGCCCTTTTTCTCTGTCTCTCCCTCTCTCTGTAGTGCTAACCCTCAAGTAAAGAAATAAATAAATGAATCACACACACACACAAGTAGATAGGATGAGGATAAGAGAGAACAGGTGCAGAACAAACTGAATGACTCAAATCCCGGGGTGGAGCTGCCTCGGGCCTAGCAACCTTTCAGGGAAGACATGAGTGAACTCATGTGGCCCACGCGAAAGGACACCACTCTGCTTCTTCTTTTTTTAATAATTATTTTATTTTATTTGAAAGACAGAGTTACAGAGAGAGGTGTAGCCTGAGAGAGAGAGAGAGAGAGAGAGAGAGAGAGAGGTCTTTGGTTCACTCCCCAAATGACAACAATGGCCAGAGCTGAGCTGATCCGAAACCAGGAACTAGGTGCTTCATCCAGGTCTCCCACGTGGGTGTAGGGGCCCAAGGACTTGGCCCATCCTCTACTCGTTCCCAGGCCCCAGCAGAGAGCTGCAGAGCCAGTGGAGCAGCCCCCATGGAGGTCGGGGCTACAGGCTGGGGCTCTAACCCGCTGTGCCACCTGGCTGCTGGACCCTGCCCTTCTGTGCACGCCCTGTCGCCCCCACGCTGCAGCTCCTGGGCTCCTCTCCTTAGTGTGACTGTGCCAGCTCCAGAGCCTCTGAGCCCAAGACAGTGCGGGATGACCTGCAGCCACCTTAACCTCACTTCCTTAACTGCACTTTAACCCTCAGAGACTTCTGCCTGCAACAAAGTTATACACTACAAGCCCGCACGCAGGAGGCAAGGCCTCCCTCTCTAAGAGAAAAAACAGCAGGATTCTAGCTCCTGGAGTCTGGTAAGTTTCAAATCAGTTTCTCGGCACAGCACCGGAAACGCCGTGGTCTGGGCCTGTGCTGTGTCCTGGTGGGCTAAGCCTCTGGCTGCAGGGCCGGCTTCCCCCATGGGCGCTGGTTCCTGTCCCGGGTGCCCCTCTTCCTTTCTGGCCTCTCTCCTAATGGGCTGGGGAAGCCATGCAAGATGGCCCGAGGGCTTGGGGCCTGCTCCTGCCTGGGAGACCCCTTGTAGTGGCCATCTGGAGAGCGAACCAGAGCATGGAAGACCTTTCTCTCTGCCTCTCCCCTCTCTGTAATTCTCTCTCTCCAATGAATAAACACAACAGTAAGAATGAAAGGCCTGGAGTTACAAACACCAGGAGGCTGTGGTCCCGGAGAGCGCCCCCTGCCGC